CCACTGAACTCCCCAGATGCCGGGATGAAACAGGGACTGAACAAATCTGGAGTTTAGTCCCTGGGTCCCATCTTGGCCTCATCTTTAGAATTTTAGTCCTGGGTCTCAGGACACCTTATGACACAGACTCATGCCTACAGGAAGCTAGTGTTCACTTACAGATTAATCCCACACAAACTCAGTACGTAGAACTAACTATAAAGTGATTTCACCCAACCTTTTGTATACTTAACCAGTGCTACTGAGTGCCCGCATGGGTCAGGCACAGGACTAAGCAGCACATCCTCAGAAATGGTGCTACAGCGGTTAGGGGCTAAGGCTGGCCTCTCAGAGTCTTTTAAATACGTAATGAGGAGGAAAGAAAACTCTTATTTTTTAGTTCTAGAATCATAAAAGTCATAGGAAAACATGGAGAAGAGGAAGTATGGAGAGAAAAAGAGAGGAGATACACAGCAGGTGGAAGCAGAAAGAGATGTTGCATTTCAATTAACTCTGTGTGTGTAATAACATATATATACATATATACATATTTATACACACACATATATAGCTTTGGCAACCTCCCATTTCCCCTAAAGACCCTAATTTGGGACTCAGCTCTGCTGAGCTACCCCAAAACTCAGCTTGGGTAGCCTGCCTGCTAGGCATAGAAGCCACCCTCTCAATTTTCCTTCCGGCATCTCTGATTGCACCCCTGCACACTCAGGGGCTCCTCAGTTCCTGATTTGCAGGAGGCAAGCCCGGTCACTCTCCCATTCTAAAGCAGCAGATGCCAGTCCTCCCAGGAACGTGTGCAATTTTAAAAGCCCAGTAAACCTCAAGTTGACAAATCCCCAGACAGTGGGCTGAAGAGAAATGATAACATCAGTTTATGCTGAGGATGAGTTGGGGCGGTGTGGGGTAAGATAGGAGCACCCGCCAGTGGGCTCTCAGATGCAAAGGCCTTGTGGCAGAGATCGCTGGTCAGCCCAGCGCTTGCAGGTCAGGGTTAACTCTGTAAGCAGGTTCGGAAGGGTGTGATGGCCGGCTCTGTGTAACTCTGTGTGTGTACTTGCATGGGCTCAGAAAGAGGTCATCGCAAGGAAAAGATGAGTCATCAGGCCTGGAGCTGCAGGAGAACCGCTGAGCTGCAAGGATTGGCCTTGCTGTGGCAGCTGCAGCCCTGGCTCTCTGAGAACCTGAGAGCATCCCCCACGCCCCACCCCAGCCCAGCAATCTCGACTGCGAACAGATGTGTCATCTGACCTCCCACAGCACTCTAGTCTACAGAGCTAGTGCCAGGACAGGCTCCAAAGCTACAGCAAAACAAAACAACAAAAAGAGTATGTCCCAGCAAAAGCACCACCTCCTCCACAAAGCCTCCATCACTGCCATGCTGAGTTTGAACAATTTGACATCAACAGGAAATCTGTCCTGTTGAAGTCTGACCACCTACAGGGCAGGAGAAGCCTAGCCGCAGCATTCCCTGGAGCCTGTGTGGTGTCTCAGTCCCAACCCTACAGCCCAGGCTCCGCCTCCTAAGAGGATCTCTAGGTGACCCAGATACAGGTTAAGTTGGCACAACAGTGCCCTTGAGCCTCCCTGCTGCTTTAGAACACACTGGAAGCTACCAGGACTATTGGAGACCAGCTTCGACAAAAATACCTTACCAGGGCAGGGGCATGGGAATCAGAAAAATTAGTAAAGAATACAAAGACATGAGTAAAAAAATAATAAAACAGAAACATAGAAGAGTACCAGGAGGGAGTTCCAATGAACACTGAAATTGCCCGCATTTCATTTTCTAGCCCGTGTTTAATTTCCATACTCCTGTATACTCCAATATAAAAGGGGTAAAGGCAACAAAAGACTTCTTTAACACGATACAAAGGACAACTCGAACAGTTATTTGCTTTAATACTTTGAGACATCAATGTTTGGTCGAAAGCATCACCCCAGCTCCCTAACACTCCTTTATACAAATAGTCTGGCATATTATCGTTGGGAGCCTCATCCCAGGCCCCTGGCACCCATCTTTGGAAGACTGGGCAGGAGCTCCATTTTAAGCCCCCTCCCCTGGGAGTTGCCTTAGTCCAAACTCCACCTCTGAGAAAGCCTGCCAAACGGTGACCCCATCCCAGGGAGGGTCAAGAAGGCCCACCAAATGGTGATCCCTCCCCAGGGAAGGTCAAGACCACTCCCACAGGCTTCTTAAACTGCCCCCCCCCAGAGAATGTACACGTGGTCTCTGGGTTTCGGCGTGATCTCCCCTTCTTTCTCTTCCCCTAGCTGTGCTTTCCAGTACCACTAGGGAGCGTTGCATTAAACATGGGCATCTTTTATTCGGTCTGATCTGGTCTGCTTGGAACTATTTGCATTGGCGGAGAGGCTTGTCACAAGAAATAAATCTAACAATCAAGTCATTAGAATTCTGTTGTTTAGATAGTGAAGCCACCCTAGACCAAGTATCCTGAAGGCAGCCACTCCCCAGGTGACCTCCTAATACAAAAGAAGGAACAGAAGTATGCTTCATATCCTGACCATCTGTCAGGGTGGAGTGGATCTACCTCTGTAAGCCATCATAATGTCAGAAGAACCAAGTAACCACATCCTGGGTCAGGATGTGTAGCCCTGGTTGTTGTCAACAATTTTGAGCAACCTCAAATTCTCTGACCTTCAGACAAGATGGAAATAGGCTCACATTTTTGGGCCTCCACACAGGACTGTCTGTGTCTAAGTAGTATGTATTTAAACCATTGTTGATTCCTTGTTCACATGTGCTAGGGCTGAGGGAACACTTGGTGGTCTCAGAACTAAAACCATCCCTACTCTGACTTTAACACCAGGAAAGAGAATAAAGTCAGAAGACATTTTGGCCACATGAAAGATTAAGGGAATTCCCAATAGCCTAGCAATGTCTCCACAGGCAAATCTTGAGCCGTGTGGGAAATGTACAAGATGAAGCTTGTACAAAGTATATGATTGATTTTGTTTTCTTTGAGACAGAGTCTCCCTAGATAACCCAGGCTGGCCTCAGATTCTCCATCCTCATGCCTCAGACTCCTGAGTGCCAAGGTAATAAGACTGTACCACCACATCCGCTAAAATGTTTGATTTTTTTTCATATCTAATTTTCAGGTTATTCCCCTTAGTTAAAATGGGGTCACAGAGCATCAGTACAGCTGTGAACTGAAACTCCTCTGGGGCCCTGTCTCCCTTGAGAAACCCGCCTCTGCCCTTCTAATCCTGTACGACTATCCTTTTCCCAAAAGGATATCTTAATCTCTTCCCTTTTGTCTCTCTCTCCTCTCCTCTGTGCTTAAATCTACAGTAGACCTTTTATTTTAAAAGCATTTAACTTTCTATTAGTTTTAAAGTGTGTGTGTGTGTGTGTGTGTGTGTGTGTGTGTGTGTGTGTGTGTGCAGTGTCTGCATAGGGCAGAAGAGAGCATCAGATCCCCTGGAGCTGGAGTTACAGGCAGTTGTAAGCTGCCTGACATGGGATGGGTGCTGGGAATCAAGCTTGTTCCTTGGGAAGAGCAATACAAGATTTTAACTGCTGAGCCATCTCTGCAGCCCTCCTCTTAACAAAGTCCTATTTTGCTTTAAAAAATTAAAAAACAACTACCAAGTGTGTACTTTTTTTTAAAAAAAATCCATTCATTCCTAATGATCAAAAAAAAAAAAAACCAGAAAAAAACTCTAATTTTTCATAGATGGAGGATGTTCAGAAATAAACTTGTTCTTCTGGAAACAATAAATAAGAGAGGTAAACTGAGCAATTGCGCCAGATGTTAACAGTAAAGAGTGACCTTTGCGTCTCCTTCCTCTTGATGCGGAATGTAACAACGCACCAGAAGATACTCCCTGTGCTCAGTCTGCTGCATAGCGTTAGGTCAGCTCTGCATAAGCTAGCGGTCCCTGAAGGGAAGGGAACTCCAGTGGAGAAATCCTCCGTAAGGTCTGGCTGTGGGGACGTTTTCTCGGTGATCTACAGAGGAGGGCACCGGGACGAACTGTGACATAGAGGCTTACGCTGAATAAACCCTTTCATCCCCAACTCGCTTTTCAGTCGCGGTTTTCACTGCAGCCATAGAAACCCCAATGCAGAGAACAGCTTGAAACATTAACGGACTAGGTGTTCAGTCTGCCACTAACTTCGCAGAAAGAGACAGCCACCGTGACCTCCTGCTTGGCAAATATCCCCATGAATATCCTACGAGTATCACTTCTGCAAACTCTCAGACCAAGTGCCAGTTTACAGAAAAGTGGGGACAGCAGGCATGCAAACTACGCTATAGTGAGGTCGTCAGCAAAACATGCGGGGGACACAACCGAGTCAGAATACAAATAGGAAAGAAAACCCAGGCCGTAAGGATAACATACAAGCTAAACACACACTACCAGTGTCAGCATCTAAACTGCACTCAGACTCTCGGACTCAAACTCTAAAAATATTCATGTATGATAATTTTGAAGCAATTACGGGGGAAATTTCATGAACACTAGGAATTATTCGTTTGTTTTGATGCCTGGGGAATTGTGACTACAATACAAATCATGTTCTTTGAATGATTTACTAACACACTTACAGATGGGATAAGATGAAACCTAAGGTGTGCCTACACAGTAGAAGCTAGCTTAAACTGATGGGGCTGGGGGTAGGAGGGTAAGTGTGCACCAGTATGGGGCTGGGGGTGGGTAGGTAAGTGTGCACCAGCTTAGGATTTGTTCTGTTCACCTTTGTACATGTTCAAGTACAAAGCAAATGAAGCTCAAACATAGATCATGTGTATGGAACAGGTGAGAATATATGATACATATGAACTATGGGCTTAAGAGAAACAAACTCAAACAAAACAAAAAAGAATTTAAGAATCCCACAACTGTGGAAGAACGGAGCTTGGAGGTATGATTCAGGGTTAAGAATTTGTATCGCTCTTACAGAGGATCTGAGTTCAGTTCCCAGCATCCACATCAAGTGGTTTACAACCGAGTGTAACTCCAGCTCCGGGGGTGGGATGAGGGGGTGGTGGGGGATCTGACACCCTCTTCTGGCCTCTGAGGGCACTGCATTCTCGTGTAAGTCTCACTCACACACACCTCGCACACATACACAGTTAAAGAAAAACTAATCTTTTAAAAGAACAATCAATGATTTTTCTTTGACGTCAATTTACTTTTTACACGCATGGTTTTAAAATGTGATAATTTGCTTTCATAGGTGCTCCACAGACAAACTCTCAACAGGTCCCATGAATTAACGCTTAAAAGCTACTAAAATCTAAGAAGAGTTAGAAAACTGTGGAGGGCTGCAGATCTAAAACGAGCCTAGCTGAGGTCGCGAATGGAAGGCACGAGCCAGCTGCAGGTGCATTGGGAACTGGGTCGGATGTGAATGTGGAGCAAACTGCCTGTTTAGCGTCCCCGTCCCCGGTCCCTGCCCCCACCCCAACACTCATGGGCCAGAGACTGTGGTCAGCTGCCTTGGCTGCACACTGGAATCCTCTGGGGCATTCTGGAAGCTGTGAACATGAAGGACCGTGCTACAGCAATTGAACAAGCTCTCTGCTGGAGGCACGAGGCGCCAGTGGTTCTAATTACTCTCCAGCTGACTCAAGTGCTCCACCAGAGTGAAGACTCCTGGTGTAAGTGCAGGGAGGAGGGGTTTAACGCCGTAAATGAGCGGAGCGGCAGCTGGTTCTGCTGTAATCTCTCCTGGATAAGTGGAGAAAATGGAGCTGCTAGTGAGACACCGAGCGCCACCTTTTTTCTGTTTGCTGTGAGTCACTTGAGGGTATTTGGAGACACCTGTGTCCAGTCTGAGTCATTTCTCTCTCGGGTGTGACTCAGATCCCACCCAGCAGGTCCACACTTTGGCTTCTTTATGGCTGAGCTCCTTTGGTTCAGGTTTTAGCGAGTACAGATCAAGTGTGGGGCAAAACAGCTGCTCTGAATCAAGCTGGGGAGGAGAAGGCTGTGGGACGGTGAGGATTGACCTCCTGCTGCGTGCTGGACTGTGATTCAATCCCAAGTGACAGCTGGCACTGACCAAGCAGCGCCAAGCCCAGATTCCAGTCCCAGGCAACCAATTCCCTCTGCAGGATGAGTGTTTGACACCAAAGGGTGACTTCAGAGGTGCCACAGTCTGACTGTCAGGAGTGAAGGCGGCAGTGTATCAGCGGTGGTGTGTTATGGGAAATTGGTTCACTCGGTTGTTTGCCCTGGTACTGGGCAAGGTCTCTCCTGCAAGGATCCCTGCCTGGCCAGCAGAAGCCTGTCAGGTACCCACCCTACATGTGGACTTTGTGCCTGAGCACTTTTGCACCGTGCCCCCTGCTTCGGTGTGACCCCCCACCTTTGCCTCAACCCGGGAGTAGATTACCTACTGCCCCCCCTACGAGTTCAGTAACTGATGACTCCCTAACACTGAGGTCCCCTTGGGTCTGTCTTTTGTTTGTTTGCTTTTCGAGACAGGATTTCTGTCTTAATTGTCCCAGCTCTCGTAGACCAGGCTGTTCTTGAACTCACAGAGATCTGCCTTCCTCAGCTGCCTGAGTGCTGGGATTAAAGGTGTGGGTCACCACCGCCCTGCTGGGTCTGTCTTTTTTAAGAACCTCCCATAGGGTGTGGTCCGAGGCCTTCCTCTGGTTGGCTCTAGCCCTTAGTCCTGACGTCATTGCTGTGGGGTAATGACAAGGCAGGGCTCTAGAACCAAGCAACCATTAACCAATTAAAGGCTGTAGCATGCCACCTCCAGCCTCCCTCGGCCAAGGATGGGTGTGGAGAAGGCCCAACCCAAAATTGTAAATTTATTTACAACCTTCAGGTTATTTTTGGTGATTTTTACTTTTCAGCCCAGTTCTTGAGCATTATCTTGGTAGATGACAATGTCGTGTTATTATAATGGAAAAGGCAGAGTAATGAAGCTGAGATCTGTGGGCTCAGAACTGGGACTGTTTCCTGGAGGAGGCGGGACCAGGTGAGGCAGACGTGGAATAGGGCTTTGGTCGTGAGCAGGGCCAGCCAGCTCTTTAGAGAAGGGTTGCTGAGAACTCTGAGGGTAGGGAATGTCCTAAATGCTTAACCATAAACCCTGCCACACCAGAACTGGAAAGGGCTGGCTGTGCCAAGTGTGATCATTAATTGCTGGATTGGAGAAACATGGAGGTTCTGGGAAAGGACAGGCATAATTGACTGGGGGCTGGGGCTCAGGGCAGCAGCCATTTGTCAAGCAATATGACCATGGTTACTGCTTAACCGTAGGATGGTATGCAGTATTCACTGATGGGATGTCAGAGACTTGGCACTGACCCAGGCTCACATCCCAGGCTTGGCATGTGAGTGCTGCAATCACAGGAACAAGCTGCACCCTTGTCTGCAGCGTGCCTGTGAGCCGTTGTTTGTGTCCCGCCGGAAAGGGTGGTGTGTCCCAGGACAGTCCAGAGACCCCTGGAGCCCCAGCTTAAGAAATGCTGGATGTCTCTGTTCCGACCCAGCCAGCGCCCTCCACCAACGTACCAGGCTCCACCCAGGAGCAGCCCAGAGCCTCCACAGAGGCCTCTGGGTCTGAGACTGTGTCCTTTGTGAATCTGTCTCTGCAGGTCTTGTGAAGTTGGAAGGAATTCCAGTGATGACGGGACGATGAATCTAGACTTGCAAAGCCTCATCTCCAGCCAGAGAACTCACAGGGTTGTCTCTGGGACAGGGTGCTCTGACCTTTGTAATTAGACTTGTCCTTTGCCAAGAGGCTTTGTGAGAGAAGCAAGCAGAGGGCTCCATGATTCATGGGGAGCCTCTCTGACAGGCCAGGAGCCCTCCCTGTAGGAGCAGAGAAACCCACACACTGTTCTAACATAAAATGAGTTAGGCCGTGAGGAGAGCCGAGTTCAGCTGCCGCAGTGAGTTCCGAGGTTAGGGGACTCACTTAGCAGGGAAGGTACCTTCAAATGCAGAGACTTCACCCAGAACATCATCAAGGGAGGCTGGGGACCTTTGCAGGGATCGTACAGGCTGCAGGACAGGCTTGCAACCAAAGAGCCAGGCAAGGCTAATCCACAGAGATGCAAAAATTAAGACGGGCTGCATAATGCTGCCAGGGGCTGCGCCACGACCTGGAAACAAGGCCTTGTCCCCATACCTTCATGGTCACATCCCCACCTGGTTTCTACAGTATAGGAAGTCCGCAGCTGTGCGAGGAAGGGGGAAGCGGGTAGGTGCACCTTCAGGAACCCCTTGCGAGGCTTCTCCCAAACAGAGGCCTGGAGAGATGGTTCAGCCGTTAAGCGTGAACACTGCTGTTACAGAGGATCCGAGTTCAGTTCCCAGATCTCCCAAACAGAAAGGTGCCTGGAAACCACACAGCCACAGCGAAGTGTCCCAAAGTGCTAGAAATGCAGTGTGGCTGATGGACACAGGGGTGTTCTTGTCCTGTCTTCACACCTGGAGACTATCTAGTGACAGCGCCGTCTCACAGGTGAGAAAGCAGGCACCAGGCTCTGAGTTCATCTTCCTCTTCCTCCTGGGGCAAAACCAACCACAAAGCTACAAATGTGACACTCGGGGGTGGGTGGCTGAGAGGCTGAGCTCTGTAGACAGGTGGCAAAAGTCTCGATTCTTAACCCTCCAGAGAGGCACAGTCCCTGCCTTGCGGGGTACTGCATCAGTGATCTAGAATCGTGATGTCAAGGGGCAGGCGAAGGTTTCCGGCAACACTGGTGACCTGCACAGTCTCCGGATCCGGGTGGAGGCTGGGAGTGTGAATACTCTGAAGTTGTATGCACAGTGTCACAAGGACCCATGGGATGTTCCTGGACAAGGGCAGCGCCTTTCTGGGGTCCTCTGAGGAAAATATTTCCTGAGCGTTCCCATTCCAGTTCCTGCATATCTGATAGCATGCCTGATGATCTATCTGCGCATGCGCCATCATTCGCTCTAGGCCTGGCATCCCACCCTGCAGCCCTCAGTCCTCACCTCCAGTCACGCGTCACCACTGGAGGGACATTCGAGGTGTTTAAAAGGCTTCTCAGAACATGCTCGAACTGGAAATCCTCATTCCTCTCCCCTGGCAGCAAAACCCACTCATTCCCATCCTCGCTGCCAGCTCTGCCGCAGGTAAAAACTTTTCTCTTTTATCAAGACGGAGGGGGGGGGGGGGAGAGAATGGGCTCTGTGAGAGAGGTAAAAGTGCTTGCTGCCGAAGCTAAAAACTTGGGTTTGAATGCCAAGACCCACATGGAGGAACGAGAGCATCAACTCTGAAAACTTGTCCTCTGACATACACAGCCATGCCATGGCACAAATGCCCTCACACAGAAATAAACAAAGAAAACAAATAATTGTAGTTTTAACTTTGTTTTTTGGAGCGAGCCCGATGTAGCAGCTACTCTCTGGTCCCGCTCTCTCCATTTGCTTGTGACTTCATGCGAAACCTCTGGGCCTCAACTTCCTCACCTGTAGAAGGGGCCAATAATGCTCAGCTCATAGTAACACTGTGACTTTAATGACTTTAAAATATATGCAGGGGGGGGGGGCTGAAGAGATGGCTCAGTGGTTAAGAGCATTGCCTGCTCTTCCAAAGGTCCTGAGTTCAATTCCCGGCAACCACATGGTGGCTCACAACCATCTGTATTGAGGTCTGGTGCCCTCTTCTGGCCTGCAGACATACACACAGACAGAATATTGTATACATAATAAATAAATATTTAAAAAAAATATATGCAGGGGACTTAAATTTTTACCTGACTGACTGTAGGCGGCAGATTTGTGTCTCGTACTCAAGTGCTCAGGACAGTTCATCGATGAGTCGGTCTTCCTTTCCTCCTCATACGCTACACCCAAACCCGTTAGCGATCTCCATTCTTCAGATGCTCACCCCACCTCATGCTCTCAGCAGCTTTCAGAACTCTGTGTGTGTGTGTGTGTGTGTTTATCTGCCCATGTGTACATGAACATGTGGGGAGGTCAGAGGTCAGGGGAGGAACTTGGGTCACTGGGGTTGTGTCGTTGAGGAGACCCGAGGGCCACAGCCTACTTCCTCTTTCTCTCTTTGCCTTACGGTGTCATGAAAGGAACAGTTTTTGCCATGAGACATCGTGATGCCAGAACACAGTGCCAGCCTTGAGAAGTCAGACCTCTCAATCAGCAGACAAGCTTTTCCTGAGTAAACACCGACTGTCTCAGAAGTTTAGGTGCTCCCAGTAGTGGAAAGGTGACTAACCCCCCACTCTCCACCTGCACCCCCTACCCCAGCAGAGGCTCCTACCCACTTACTTGTAGGACAGGCTGGACAGTCTCCGGGTATCGGGTTGGGTGGAGCTATGTATCACTCTGGCACCAGGTGGCGCTGCAGCACTTTGGGGGGTGTTGCAGGGATGCACCTGTAGCTGCAGGTGTCCTGGGGCCAGGATTCCCTTCCTTTCTCTGCTCCCAGAAATAGGCAAAGTTAGCAACATAGAATAACCCTTCTTTTCTTGAAGTTGGAAAAAGAAAGGCCAGGAGCTCTGGCGTGGCCACCCTGTCAGCGGTGGGTCACTTCCGCTCGATGGGCATCCCGGACAAGAATGAAGGCCAAGGACTGCTTGGTGACTAACCGCTGCCTCTGTGTAATGTTTAACCCAGGGCTGCAAACTTCCATGTAGTAATAGTCATGGAGACGTCCAGCTCTGCCCTGGGCCGTCCATGAATTGGCCCAGGATGTGGGAAGTTGGGGGAAACTGCAGTCAATTGACATGGTGGGTGTTGCTATCTAATCAGCACTGTTGACGTTACCACCACTGCCGTCTCTTTTCCCTGGAGGGAAGGAGAAGGCTTCTGAGGGAGGAAATTGGTTTATTCCTGGCATAAGAATCAGAGGAACGATAGCAACCCTAGAGGGGCAATGTCTGGGTTCTAGTCCACTGTTCCTCAAGATGTGTTGTTGCACACTGTGCATAGGGAGGGTGCTGAGAACACGGTACACATGCAGTTCCGGTTTCTCCCACTGGGTGGTGCAGGCCCCACGCTCTGTCCCTGGATGGCAGAGCAGACTTAGCCCGTCCAAGGGAGTTGAGCACTAGGGTGGGTGTTTGGAGTCGCGCAGGCAAAGGCCTGGCTTTTCTTTGAAGCAACGTTTCTCCTTGGATTCGAGTTTCACAGGCACAGAGGCCTGCCTAGGCCTCAGATGGACTAGAAGTGGTCTCAGTGGGGGGGTGAGATGCCACAGTGGATCTGTGGTCAGAGCCAGACCTTAGTCCAGCCTTTGCTTTGATACTTGGAGCACTGACCACTGACCATCTTGCAAACCCCGGGGTGGGGCAGCACAGAGGCAGGAGGCTCTCCGAGCAGGCCTACTGGAGAAGCCGGGTGTCTTTCCACTCCCCGGGGGTCAAATTTTCCAGCACTCTCTGGTACTCGTGGTTTAACCTTTCCCACCTGACAAGGAGCCATTCTCTGGCTTGTTTGTTTGTGCTTGTGAGAAGAGGGACAGTTGAGGGCGGCCTGTCCGGGAGACAGGACCTACACATGGGAAGATAATACCCCATGGCCTGTGGCTGCCTGCCTTAGGAGTGTGTCTAGGAGCACAGATTCTTACATGGCTTACTCTCAGTCTGGGCTCCGAGCCGTCAGGATCCACTTGCAGCATTTCTGTCTTCAGTCTGAGTCCTGGCAGTTTCCCCAAGCCCCTTATTGCCCTCCCCCTTGGCCTCTCTGGAGAGCTGGGAGAGATCCTGTCAGAAGCAGTGTCTTTATTAGCACGGGAAGCTCCAACAGCTGCGCAACACTAGATAAATCCTGGTGTGAGGACCTGCATCCCGGGACTTCAATTCCTTTCCTTAAATGCAGTTTTGCTCTGAGCCTGAGTCTCCCCCAGTTCTCTGAGCCTCAGAAATCCTAGATCTCAGGGCTGTCAATCACTTTCTTTAATCCTCAAACCCTGTGTGGAATTAGAAGAATGGATTGCCCCAACCCCCCTGGGTGCCGGCGATGGATGCTAGGGCCTTCTATGGGCTAGGAAAGCTACACTAAGCTACAGCCCCAGGCCTTGATTTTTTTTTTTATTACAAAATGCCTGAATATCTTTATCTACTAGCAAAAGTTAACGTGCACTTGTCTGGAGTTCCCTTGCAGCTCAACCTTCCTTGTGGAAAGGCTGGCTGTTGAATTAGACTGCCCGTCTCAGGCATTTTCTTTTGCGTGTTGAAAAGCTGTGTTGTACCGTGGCCCCAAGAACACAAGGAGTGATCTTCGGGGAAATGAGTCACCAGTACCTCCCCTGCTGATGACTGTCCTCCCACACCCTGGGGACTGCACAGTACGGGAGGGAATCTTTGCAAGGCACTAACAATGTGGAGGGCAAACACTTCAGAGAGAGGCCAGCCGGGCCTGTTGTTTTCACGCTTTGAGAGCAAAGTGAGAAATACAAGCTGTCTCTTTACCTTCCCGGCAAACACCAGGCCTTGCCCTAAATCTCCTCTGATTTCACCTCCCTGGACACAGGCTGCCCAGTTGCTCAGACTCAAATCCAAACAAAAACTCATTCATAGTGCCCAGGAGGCGAATGTCCATGCAGCTCCGTTAGAACTGACGGTCGCCGAGGTGTTCTCGCTGCTTCTAGAGCCGTCTGGGTGCAGGGGTGGGGAGCAATTCAACCGTGCTCCAAAGTAGTGTTCGGAAATTAAATTTGGTATCGTTTCTCCAGTTTTTAGTGGGGTTTCAGGAAAAGCATGGCTGCATGCTCTGGTTTAAGGGTGCTGTGCTTGTTCCGATTGTCTCTGCTAAACTGCAATGACTGTGTGCCCTGACTCCTTCCTGCTCTGAGCTCCTCAGACCCCACCTCAGAACCACACCTCCCTTCGCTGACTTTCTGTACTGCCAAGCGCCAGTCACGTGCTCAGTGGCTCCTACTGCCCCCAGAGTCCCTGCTTGCAGGTGAAGGCCAGGCCAAAGGGGGCTTTTATCTGTCACTTCCACACAAGATAGTCATCTGGGGAAAGGGAGGCGCAGTTGAGAAGGTGCCTCCCTCAGACTGGTCTAGAGGCAAGCCTGTGGGACGTGTTCTTGATTATCGGTTGATATGAGGTGGCCCAGGCCCACTAATGGCGGTGCTACACCTGAGCAGGTGGTCCTGGGCTGTAGAATAAAGTAGGCCGACGAAGCCGTGGGGGAGGACAGCACTCTTCCATGGTTTCTGCTTCAGCTGCTGCCTCCAGGGTCTGCCCTGGCAGTCTATGGAAGGGACACACGAGCCAAATAAACACTCTGCTCCACAGTTGGTTTAGGTCAGTGTTCTGTCATAGCAACAGAGAGCCAAACTAAGCCCAAAGGTAGCTCACCGATTCCAAGTCACAGTTTCCTGCTGACTGGGGTGTCATTCACCTGGGTGTCCTGGATGTCTGGAACAGCAAACACGACCGTGGGTAAATGTATGTAAACATTGGAAGAGGAGGCCAAAGGGAGCCTGTTGAACTACGGTGACTCACGGCCCACGCCCTCCCCAGTCCATCACAGCCTTCAAAGCTGAGAAGCCAGGGCAGGGCTGGGGTGTAGCTCAATGACAAAGTGTGTTTGACATGCGCCAAGCCCTCAGTTTAATCCCAGCACAGAGGGAAATAAAAAGGCCGGGACACCCAAGAACTTCTGTCTCCACCCCTGTCTGTCTCCATTCTGAAGCTCTGTAAGCTGCTTGTCTTTCATACCTCTCACCAAAGTATAAACCCCGCAGGTATGAGTGTAAACAGTGCAGGACTGTCTGTGGCCCAGCACGCCGGACAGAGAAGCAGCTGGAGACAGCTAAATGGGGCCTGGGGAACTATTTCCTAAGTTACTGCTAGCCTCAGGTTGGTATTTAGAGACAGAGACAGCAAACGCAAACATGCCCACCCTGGCTTGTCATACAGCAGCAGAGGAACAAGGGGACAGTTCTGAGCCAAGTCTGGAAGAGGAAGTGGAGAACCAGAGCTTGTATCGTGTAGAAAAATCCAAAGCAACCTGTTTCCTGGGCAATGCTTTGCTTTGGAAACTCTGAAACTTTCATGGTACTTGGCTGTGGTACAGTGGCTCTAAAAACACTTATAAACTGGGGCTGATGAGATAGTTCAGTGGTTAAAGTCACGTGCTATTCTTGCAGAAGATCTGGATTTGGTCCTATCACACACATGGTGATTTGAAACTGCAATTCTGGTCCCAGGGGGATTGACTCCCTCTTTTGGCCCTCACAGGCACCAGCATTTATGTGTGCACTGACATGCATGAAAACACTCATATACATGAAATAAAAACTAAAAATTTACCTTTTTGAAAAAAGAATTTTAGAAGCCATTAAAAATAAACTTGAGAAACTGGGGGTATAGCTCAGTTGGTAGGGTGCCTGCCTAGCATGCAGGAAACCCTGACTTTATTCCCCAGGGCTGCATGAGCTAAGCATGGTGGCTTGTAATCTCAGGACTCAGGAGGGAGGAGGAGGAGTTCAGGGTCATCCTGGACTTCACAGTGTAGGATACATGAGATCCTAGACTTTACAGTGAGTTTGGGACTAGCCCCGGATACACGAGAACCTATCTCAAGAGCCCAAGGAAAGCCTGAGAATTTTGCAGACATCCTGCTCCTTCCTGTAAGTAAGCCTGGTCAAACCTCCCTGGATCGCTAAGCTGGACTTTGGGGCACCCACCCTGGCTGGGGTGAGCAGCAGTGAGCGAACACTGAGTTGTGTCTCAGTGTCTCATCTGGGAAAGTTTCTCCCACAACATGCGCTGGAGGTGAGGGCAGGAGTGGCTGTCTCTAGGAGCTAGTCTTCGGTTTGAAGGTCACAAAAATGAAATGCAGAGAGAACTTAGATTTGCCTAGAGTGGTTTTTCCATGTGAAAACTCAAAGCAAAAGTAACTAAGGAAATGCACGACATGACTGACAGAGCTGGGAGGTTAAAATGTAACCGATGGGCAGGTCCTGGTCCACGAAGACGGGGTCAGGTAACCGATGGGCAGGTCCTGGACCACGAAGACAGGGGTCAGGTAACCGATGGGTAGGTCCTGGGCCATGAAGATGGGGTCAGGTAACCGATGGGCAGGTCTTGGGCCACGAAGACGGGGTCAGGTAACCGATGGGTGGGTCCTGGTCCACGAAGACGGGGTCAGGTAACCGATGGGCAGGTCCTGGGCCACAAAGACAGGGGTCAGGTAACTGATGGGTAGGTCCTGGTCCACGAAGACAGGGGTCAGGTAACTGATGGGTAGATCCTGGGTCACGAAGACGGGGTCAGGTAACTGATAGGTAGGTCCTGGTCCACGAAGACGGAATCAGGTCCCACCTTCTCCAGGAAGGCTTTTACAGCAGTGCCAGTGTCTGTAACCTGTTTCTGGCTCCTCTAAAATCATCATAATGTGAGAAGATGCTGAAGTCTAGATTGTTCACTCTCCGCTGGTCCACTTAGCACATCTCTCCAGTGCAGTTTGGAGTCAGGGGCTGCATCTTCCTTGAGAACGAAGGTGCACGGAACACTTCATAGGCTGAGCTTGCTGGCTGGAGAGGTCAAGAGAGACCTCCCAGATGAGCAAGGAACATGGTCTTCCCTTGGCTTTTTGGTTGCAGGCCCCAGGAATGTTTGAGGCAGCCTGGTTATGTCTTGGCCAGCTCATCATCTATCAAAGCTCTGTTTAATTTTGATCTTGCTATTGCTGTCACTTATCTGGAGCCAAGAAACCAAGAAATCCAAATAATGAAATGCCTAGTTCAGCTCAAACACAGAACCAGGGAGACACCGTAAATAAGGAACAGAAAACAGTGGAGACGGGGGTCCTGGTAGTGAATTCAGACCCGACTCCAAGATTAACTTGAACAAGAGGATGTAAAGCAAAGGGGGTGGCAGGAGAGACACCTAGCACTGAGCTGGGTGGACCACTGCTCACACGCACTCTATATGATGGTCTGGATGTTTATTGTTCTCTTGTTTTTAGGCTGCTCTATCTTCATCCTCTGAGACCCCATCCTTTAAGATGTGGGTAAACATGCTTGATTAGTCTGAACAGAACTGTTCTTCTATGCTGCCAAAGAGAAGTTTTACCAAGAAAACACAGAGAATGAAGCTGGGAAAGGAGGAACTGGTCTTTAAAGGACCCTATGAGAATAATTGCTGGGATGTAAATGCTACATCGAATCATACGTGACTCACAGGTTCTTTGAAAGAGGCTGAGCAGAATGTCTTCCTGGAATTCTGTGGGTAGCAGCTCACATTCCGTCACAACCGAGCCGCGATTGCTGGTCCTCTGAGTCAGCTGTCCTCAGGTATCTGCTCCATGCACCCCTTATTCCAACGGCGGGTGAAGTCAGCTGTCCTCAGGTATCTGCTCCATGCACCCCTTATTCCAACGGCGGGTGAAGCATGAGGTACAAGCATGGTGGCTCTTTCACAGCTGAGCAAAGTGAGGCCCCAGGGCTTTTGCTCATCACCCAGCTGGAAGCCAGGTCAACAAAGTGTATGTTTTAAAATCAACCTTCATGTGTCTGTATGTGTGTGTGCGTGTGTGCATGGGGGAAGTGCCCGTGCCATGCTGTGTGTGTGAGTCAGAGGACAACCTGGGTGCCAGTCTTTACCTTTCACTCTGTTTAGGGCAGGGACTTTTGTTGTTTGATGTTTGTGTAGATCAGGCTGGCTGTTCTGTGAGCTTCTGGAAGCTTCCGGTCTCTGCCTCCTGTTTCCCCCTAAGAGCCCTGGGATTGCAGGTAAATGCTATTTCCATGAGACAGGACATAAGAACTTAGGTCCTCATTTCTGTAGAGCAAGTGCTCTACCCACTGGGCAACCTCCCCAGTCCTACCATGTGTATGTGTCTGTGTGTGTGCATGTATGTGTATGTGTGTACGTGCGTGTGTTAGACTCTCTAACTTTAACAAACTCAAATCTGCTTCCTTTTATTGATAATCTTGGATTTGGAGAATTGCTGTTAAATAAAACTTTAAAACAGTTTTCTATCCAACTAACTATTGCCCTACATTATACAGGGACTCGAGGAGACAAAAGAATACTCAGTCTACCTTTGGGAACCAATTGTCTGGAGAGTGCTTCTTTCCAGACTGTAATATGGTGCTCATTATGTCTGAACAATGACAAGCCAGTGGCGGGTTTGTTAAATGCTAGGGAGGTCATTAACACGCTGGCCTTCCTAATTCATGCGGAAAGCCTGCTTTCATTTATCAGAAGGCTGTAGGGGAGGTGCTCAATTATGGATGTGATGCTACGGATGTGATGCTACAAGTCCACGACATTTACGATATTACGGACAGGCAAAGGCCAGCCAAAGAACATTGGTTAAGCGTCTAAGTGCCGGCAAGTTTTCCTCTTGAATAACCATTGGTCCAATGTTCAAGGGCTTATGTAAATATGTTGTGTCCTTTTTACAAGATTTTTAAAATGGTAACTTGCCCTACCCAGTAACTATAATAAGGTTCAGAAACAATTGAAAAGAAAAGTGCTTCCAACTTTTTATTTTTCTTTTCTTTTTTTCAACGTCAAGGCTAAAACACAGGCCTTGCCCTTACAGAGCTTATGCTGCCCCCATGAGCTGAATCCTCAGCCCCCAGCTAATGACCTAACTAAGGAGACCCGGCTCACATGTGAGAAGGCAAGTCAGGATCGAGCAGCTTTTTAAAGTTTTTTTTTTCAACCGTTATTTTCAATTATGTGTCTGTGTGTCTGTGTTTGGTATCAGCTCCCCTGGATCTGGAATTACAGATGGTTGTGAGCCATGATATGTAGGGTTCTGGGAACCAAAAAGGATTCTCCACAGAAACAGTAGAGCCCTTAACTGCTAGGCCATCTCTCCAGCCTCCTGGATCCAACAGCTTTTTAAGTCACAAATAAAGCATTCTCACCTTCTAATCTGTGCAAACGCCTCCTAAAAACAAAGGAAGCAGGAAAATGAGAAGGGAGGCAGATACAAACTGGAAGGACAGCATCTAGGAAATGGGGACTGGGCAGACACCCACTGTGGGTGATCTTCACCAGGAATCATGGTCCGCCCATGATCACAGGGTCAATTATCAAAAATGCTATGGAGAGACACAAGACAGAATGAACCAAGCACGCACAGAGAGGAGGAGTAGGCTAGGACAGATGCCAGCAGAGTTCCCGAGGCCGCTCTGGCTGAAGAAAGAAGGATGCAGGATGCCTTGGGATTTGCAGCTCCTCCACCATGCAAGGGACAGGTCTCATTTTTCCCCTCCTGCTGGCTCTTGCTGGCCGCAGCAGCTCTCAGCTGAGGGACAAGCCAGGGCCATGCCCTGGGAATGCTCAGGTTTCAGTTTTACCCTAACCTCAGAGGTAGCTTCTCCATGGTTACCAAACCTGAGCAAGGGTCGATTCCTGGAGAAGGAGAGCGGAAATGATGGCTGGTCCTGAAGGCTGGGACCTCCTCTCTGGTAACAGCTCTGCTGCTGAGCAAGCAGAAGACACCTTGACTCCACAGGGCTTCTCCCCTCGCTGGAGACTTTGTTACTGTCTGTGGCAATTTGCAAAGCAGATCGAAGCTACTGTATAAAAACTGCTCACTTTTTCATCCCTTTGGCTTTTGTTTTGTGAAAACCTCGCGTCCTCATAGTCCAGGCAGAGGCAGGTCTTGAACCTGAGATTTTTTTTTTTACCTCAGTCCCCCAAACCCTGAGATTATAGGTGTGCGCCGCTCTGCCTGTCTCATCACCTTTTTTTAAAGGATGAAGAACATTAATTTTCTTTTGTTGTCCTTTCATATTAAGAAATCCATGTTATCGTGAGCCTTAGAAAACCATGGAACTCCGAGAATGTCACCTGTCTAGTGTGTCTTGTGCCGTGTTCAGCTAGAGTACCTGGTCCCGAGCCCCAGGCTGAATGTAACCTGGTAAGTGTTACTGCCTTGCATCAAACACTACATTAGCTTCACCAAGGGTGGGGACTTGGGACTCCAGTCCAAAGACCTCACAGAGATAAAGGATCTTTGCACAGAAGGAGCAAGAGATGGGGATGTGGTCCCGATATTTGTCTTGAAGAGGAGGTGTCTGAGTAGTTGGTGGCCCAGGCTTGGGGTGGTCACAGCACAGTGCAGGGAAGAGAGAAAGATGGAAGAACAGAAAGGAAGCCAGCCCTCACGGCACAGGAAGACGGCGTAGGGCTCAGGCACACAGGAGAGTCAGCACAAGTCAGAGAAGGGGAAGAAGGCAATGGAATTTACCTGCTCGCCCTTCCTGGCCTTAGCTCTCTCTGCGGGGCCTCCATTGCCATGCGGATCGGGCAGTGGTGGCACACACCTTTAATCTCAGTAGCCATACTAGTTAGCCATAGAAAACAGGAGGTGGTGGTGCACACCTTTAATCTAGCACTAGAGAGGAATTTAAAACAGGAGGAGACAGCTCTCAGCTCAGTCTCATTCTGAGGATTTGTGGAGGCAGGACCGCCACTTCAGTCTGAGGTAGAGGTAAGAGCCAGGAGTTGGCTGATTTGCCTTTCTGATCTTCTATTGAACCCCAATATCTGTGTCTGGGTTTTTATTATTTGTGCTACAGTTGCTAGTGAGACCCAGGCCTACATTTCATTCATTCAGCTTTACCTGGGGGGCATATGAAAAGACACAGGTCCCAGCTGTCTTGCTTTGCAAGACTGGGAGAAGATAGAAGAGGGGCCTGCACTCTATGGCATTCATTCATTCATTCGTTCACTCCTCACTCACTCATTCATTCTTTGAGGAAGGCAGAGGCCTTGCGACTTGATCACTGTTTGCTAGGCAGCTCTCCATGCCATTGAACTGGAGACAGAACTGTCAACACCTGAGCTCTGGGGGACACACTCAAGCCGTAGGAACAGTGTTCCTGCAGAAGTGATGGTTCCAGTGGCCAGTGCTGGAGACTTGGTCCCATGATAAACTAAGAGTTCCTTTCTATTCCATCACAGCCACAACCCCACCAGACCTCCAAAGGCCATTTAAACACACCCATTCCTCTACATTGACATTACGTTAGGCAGCCTATAACTATAAATTTCCCAGGGAAATTGAAGGGGAGAGGGACTTAAATGTCTCACTTAGCAAAAGATCCTAACCCCATTTCTCTATGATGTTTAAATACTAATTCTGTGATACTGTGGAAGTCACTTAACCCCTCTGAGCAACTGTGGCAATTTCATGAGACCCAGGGTATTATATATAACATAGGAGTCAATGAAATCACCATGGCAACAGCACTTTTGCACTCCAGCGTACTGAACAAGGTAGGGGCTGTCCTGCCTCCTCTCTGCACCCCTGTTCGCTGGTCCTCTCTAGTGGTTCTTCCTTCTTTCTTTGACCCTCTTGAGCTTGGCTCTAGCTCTGTTCCTAGTAGCTCTCCCACCAGCTCTTGCCCCTGAATTCAAGCCTAATTCTACCCTCTGTTCCTTGGAGTCACCCTGAGCGGTCTGCTCTTGGCACCGTATTAGAGGGAACAGTCTTAACTACAATGGCTGACCAGGACAGTGATCCCACAATAGGAGCTTTCCCTTGCCGCACTGAGCAATATCTCCACAAGTACCAACGTGCCTGGTAGGAGAAGAAGGGCTTGCCTGGGAAGAGCTAGTTCAGCTGTCTCTGAGATTCTGCTACGCTGACATGAAGCGAAAACAAGTGGACTTTCCCATGGTTTTGTGATGCCCTCTCCCACATGGGCTCGCTTTCACCTCACAGCGAGGGAGCAAGGGCATCTCCCATTTTTACAAGCAGATTCTCAAAGCCCAGCAAGTCGTTCCAGGCTAATTTTATGGCCAGCGTGAGGCCCGCCAAAACTAGGAACTGTGTTCTGGTTCCAAGTTATTTTCTGTCATTCTTCTGCCCTTTGTTTTGACCTGTTCCCGTTCCCTTTGTTCTTGCCTTTCACAGGCATTTACATGCCATGCCTGTGCTCTTGGCGTGTTTACTTACCTCACCAAGGAAACAACATACTCCAGAAGCCTTGAGGGACCCATCAAGTCCACACGGCCTCTTCCTACACTGAGGTAAGTGGAGGCCAAACTGACCTTCCTCGCTGGCCAGAGGGGCTTTGTGAGCCACGAACTGCCCCAGGGAGGTACACAGTTTTCCGTCAACTGACTTTTCACATTGCCAGCTCTCTTTGTGGTAGGGACACCTCCATTCCCGGAGGCGCAATGGCCTTAGTGACTATAGGCTGTTCCCTGGAGGATGTTGTATGACTGGTTCTGAACTAGGGGATGGGAATGAGGAAGCAGAGGCCAGAGAAGCAATAATGGGACTGTTGAGCAGAAATCCAGCAGAGAATCAGAGACAAGCACAGAGAGAACATAAGTGTGTCACATGATCTTAACCCAGTTCCTGTCCCCAATGCCTTTGCTACTTGCTGGTGTATTTGGAGTTAACGGAGAGGGAGCGGTCATATGGGAATAAGACAGGGCAGGGACATTCCACATAGAGGCTGCTCTGGGAAATTCTCACTAGATTAGGGATTGATGGGGGTTTACGTCAGCAAGACATGGCTTTCTTGAGCTGCAGAGACATGTCTGTCAAGAGGCCCTGTGTCTAGTTAGGGTTCTTATTGTGATGAAACACCACGGCCAAAGCAAGTTAAGGAGGAAAAGGTTTATCTGGCTTATGCTTCCACATCACTGTTCATCATCGAAAGAAGTCAGGACAGGAACTCAAGCCGGGCAGGAACCTGAAGACGGGAGCTGATGCAGAGGCCATGGAGGAGAGCTGCTTACTGGCTTGTTCCCACTTGTTCAGCCTGTTTTCTTACAGAAGCCAGGACCCAGGCGAGGGTTGGCACCACCCACAGTGGGCTCTCCCCTGTCAATCACTAGTTAAGAAAATGTCTTACAGGCCTACCTACAGCCATATCTCATGGAGGCATTTTCTCAATTGAGGTTCCCTCCTCTCAGGTGACTTTAGCTTGTGTCAAGTTGACATAAAACTAGCCAGCACACCCGCTTGGTGTCCATTCTTCTTTTCAGTCAAAATCAAGTCTATTTCCTCCACTATTGTTTAGTTGGGTACATTTGTCAACGTCGGAAATTTAACTTAGAAAATCTAGAACTCCAGAAAAGGAGTCACCATGGGGGAAAAAGAAGAACATGACTAGAGACCTGGGAAACTGTGGACCAAGCAGTCTGGGGAGATAAATTACATGGTTGCAGAAGCTGGGACTGCAGCCAGAGGAAGGAGCTATTGCTCTGCAGAAGAGGCAATGAACAATTCCCCTCAGCAAAGCAGAAGACCATGTTAGCAAAGTCAGAAATACCCAGCCTCCCCAGGGCTGCGAGTGTTGGTGCTGATCAGCCCCTATCTGAAGCCACCAACCCTGAGCGACACAACAGTAGTGGTGTTCGTCATCAGGTGGTCCAGAGTTGCCAAACACAATTCCATATCCTCAGCCCCTCCGAGCTCATGGAAACCTATGCCAGGGACGCTCCCACCTGTGACAGAGACCTAGCCCGGGCCAGCCTGTCTTCTCAGAGGTCTTTTTGTCTACACTACTCACACCCCATGGCTCAGCTGCAAACACCAGCATTACCCATAAACACTGGGGAGAAACTTTCATTTTTATCAGCTGCCGTTTAGATTTCAGAGTGCATTTTACATCTCATTTCACTTGACATCCGAGAAGGCGGTGGCATGCCAACTGAGCTGTAAGGCGAACTTGCCTGTGATAATGGGGAACAGCCTAGCAAAGACAGCAAGGTCAGCTGCTTGGCACTCCCTGTTCTGCGCACTGTGTCTACCAGGCTGGTTCAGGATCAACTCCTTGTTTCCCCCAAGGACCATCAGACTGTCAGGGGGATCAAGCCCATGCTTTGTGGCAGTCAATCAACAGGGAACCCCACAAATGCATATGAAATAAATGGATTCGAAGAGGCAAGCTGATATTTGTGATGAGCGCCAGGCAACTTCACGCTGAACCATCGGCCTAAGTTCAGTGCTTTTATCTCTTCTCAGAAGGGTCTAGAATTTTTTTTTTCTGTGTGGCTGGAAGGTTTTGTATAGAAAATTTTGTGCCAATTAGAGTGAGTTAGGTATGCTGCAGGAACAAGCATCCCCCAGTCCTAGGCGGGATATAACATGTTTAATTCATTTGAGGTCACAGCAGATCTTCTTTGGGTTCAGGCAGCTCTTCAGGGCAACTTTCCTTGTTATTGACTCAGTACCACAACCATTCATAACTCTCTATCAGGACACATCTCCATGAATGTCACAGCAGGCGAAGAGCAAGTAAGTGCTTCCCTCTAAAGTGACATGTAACACGTTTAATTTGCCACAGTAAGTCCCCTGACCACACTGAACTCTAAGTCAGCAGGTGCGCCAGGTATTGGTTCCTCTAAGATAAACTGCCACTGAACTTACACTTTTGACAACAATTTCTGACTTTACCTGATTCTGTGGGTCAGCTGGACAGCTCTTTTGCTGGTTTTTCTTGGGCTTATTTTGACAGCTGTATTTGGCTGGGCAATTGGGGTTGGCCTGGAGAAGCCACGATGCCCTCGTTCACGTGTGTAGCCGCTGCCTGGGTACCTTGGTTGCTTTTCCTCCTCTAGCAGGCTCAGTTCACCTCCGTACGCAAAGGTCCCAGGACAGTTGTTCCAAAAGGACAAAGGCAAAAGCTGTAGAATTTCTTAGGCCCAGGCTCCAGAATTTATACACCACTGCCGTGTCTTATTGGCAAAGTCTAGTAGCAAATCCAGCCCAAGTTCAAGGTTCGGAGAAATGATTTCCTAGGGTAGTTTTTATCATCGCCATGTTTTTGCCTGTTACATCAGACATGTACACAACGAATTCCTGCTTTTTGTGTTCTACAACGTCACCATAAACTCTGAATTAAAAATACCAAGTCATTGCTTCTGGAGAAACAGAGTGTGTTCCTGCAAGCCTCTGGCAGAAAACCACTGTAACTCATCAGCTCTCCAACCTCGCATTACTTCTATTTAAGGTTATCTTATCTAATACATATCACTGATTTCATAAACTTCCAAACTCACAGCCAACTCAGCCCACAGCCATTCAGCCCACTGAAGTCTCGCCCATCAGAGCTTGCCCACATGCATGTCCTCAACAGGAACATTTGTGAGACAAGGAGCACCAACAACAAGCGTTCTGTCACTAACTGCACTACACTCGTTAACAGTGTAAGAGCCGAGCCGAGATGGCAAAATGTCGCTCTGCCGTGTGCACAGCTGCGTGCCTACGGCTCAAACTGTTTACCACTCTACATTGTCCCAAATGATTGCAAAAGCAACATGAGCCCTAGGTATTGATTTTGAGATTACACATTAATGTTTACAAGGAGACAAGTCCACAAATGCAGAGCCCATAAATAACAAGAATCAACTGTACAGGGAAAACAGATAATGGTGAGAAATACGACATATTTTATTTGCTTGCCGGGTCATCTTTGCTTGAAAGTAGACATTTTATATAATGTGACAATTCTGAAAGTCCTGTAATCTAATTCTCCATCCACCTTGGGTTTGCTTTGATGTTTGCTATTATTTAGTCACTATTCTGAGCCAGGAAATTCTTTCTCTCTCTCACCTTCTCTCACTGTCTTTTTCTCTGTCCCTCTCAGAGACCCCTGAGAACCCAGAACCTCAAACATGCCAGGCAAATGCTCCATATCCCCAGCCCCTGAACCCAATTTCTTTGTCTTGCACGTCCATTGAAGTCTGCACAGGTAGCCAGCTTAGTGGCATGCTGACGACTGGAACCCATAGGTCACCTGGTCTTGGCTGTTGGCGTTGTATAAGCATTGGGGCATGCCATTGGCAGCAGCTGGGCACTGGCTGATCTGCCTTAGCTTTTACTTCCTCCCTTTTGGGAATCTATATAAAAATGCAGTCTTTGTTTAAGAAGCCCCAAGGCAATCTAAAACAAACAAGCAAAGCTTTGTTACACAGCACATCCATTCTACAGGTGTAGAAACTGAAATCAATAAAAGATTAATAACTGACCCAAGGGCACCCAGAGAGCATACAGTGACCCCAGGATGAAAACCAGGTAGTCTGACCCCAAAGGCCGCAGAGTGAAACGCTTTGCCTTGTTGTTGAGGAAATAGGTTTAGAAAGGTTAAAATGCTGGCGGTCACTCAGCTGACAGGGGTAGATCTGCCTGGACCCCAAACACATCCAGTTCTCCACTGTTAGCCCAAGCCACTGATGAGCCACCAGGAGAGAGGACCAGGGGTGGACGGCAAGGGTCAGGTTGAAAATGCCTGGAGAAGGTCCACTGACCAAGTAAAGCTTCTGGAGAGGTCGTCTGAATGTCACCAAATGAGCAAAGTGATAGAGATTCAGAGAGACACGGGCTTGCCAGTGTTTGGAGCAGGCTTAAGATCCTGTTAGGCACACGCTGTATACTGCTATTACAAGAAATAATATTAAAAGTTGCATTTCTGCTGGACATGATGGTGCATGCCTTTAATCCCAGCACTCGGGAGGCAGAGGCAGGTGGATCCCTGTGAGATGGAGGCTAGCCTGGTCTACAGAGCGAGTCCCAGGCCAGCAGAGACTGGAGAATGAAAGCCTGTCTCAATAACAAACAGCAGAAGCTGCGTCTGATGAAGGTGAGTCCTTTTCGTTCACTTTCTCACTGAGCTCCTGGACCCCAGGCCCCTCCAGTCAGCCAGCAGGCCCTGAGCAGACGCTCCCACCCTCACGAGGGCCAAGATGGATGAAGTCCTAGTGAAGCCCACATCTGCGGTTCCGTGAGCCTGTCCATTTCCCTTTCCTTTGTCAGTTATTTTCCTTGGCCCTGAATGATCCTAATGCTGTTGTCATTGAGAACTCAGCCTGTAGGTGCCCATTGTCATTACAGATCTGGAGGAGTTCTCAGTCCAGCCGGGGCTCCCTTCCTGGTGCTCAGAGGACACACTCGAGAGGGTGTCGATGGAATTGCGGTTGGCTAGCCAAACAGAAGCAGAATTGAAGCCTGGTGACTTATCCAGTGCAGCCACAGCCACCCAGAGAGAACCTGCTGTTCGGTGTGCAGTTTGAGTTCATTAGAAAAAACCAAGACTCGGTGTCAGCAGCTGGGGTAATTTAGCTCTGTCTAATGGTAGATGAGTAAGGCAGAAAACTCATGGTTGGACCTCAGGGCTCCCATAGGGACACGCCATCTGCTCCTTACTCCACAGTCAGGGGCCTCTCAGTGCAGTGGTTAGAGCGTACTCTTCATTTCTGGTACCCTACACAACTTCTGATGCCCCGTACCCATATACTAGCATGCTCATGCACATGTGTGAACATGTGAACATAAACAGAGAGAGGGAGAGAACACAGATGCCTCTGCCCTTCCCTTGGAACTTTCCCCAGCTTCTCCATAGGTCTTTCTTTAACATTATATTTGGAATTTTTTTCTGTCTGGTAAGATTAACAGATCTTTGAGAAAAATCAGGCTCATTTTTTTTAAAAAATAATATTTTAAGATTTTATTGATACTAATATTCTGTAAGATGATTCAGATCAAATTGCAAGAAATTCCAGGAACACAAACTGCCGGTTAACGTGAAGCCTTTTTCCTCCAGTTGTAAACACGCACATGATACAAGTCTTGACAGACAAAGCTGCTGTCTGTTTGTGTTGGGCAGGAATCTCTCATTTTGAGGAATTCGTGTTGGAGAACTTTTGGTGGTTGTGTTTGTCGCAGGACCCTATATTAATCCGTTCTCCTCAGCTCCCCATAGTGAGCTGCCATTGTGATTTCTCAGTGGAAGGGTCTTCTTGACTCTTCAAATGACTGTGACTCTTTCCATCAGCATCTAAGTCGTGCTGGCCTTTGCTCCATCGTGGCAAGCTCCGTTGTTTGTCTTCAAAGTGACACCTGGATAAGGGCCGTGCTTATTCAGAACCACCAAGAACCGTGGTAGTTTTTAATCTCAAAAATTACCAAGGCCAAAAGGGGCTTTCCTGAGGCAGCCCTATCTGTGGCAGGAACCCACCTGTCTCCCCCACTCCCCCGCAGAGAGGGCTTCTCTGTGTAACAACAGCCTTGGCCATCCTGGAACTCGCTTTGTAGACCAGGCTGATCTCAAACTCACAGAGATCCTACTGCCTCTGCCTCCCGAGTGCTGGGATTAAAGGCATGTGCCACCACCACCCGGCCCAGATGTTGTATTTAAAAATAGCCATAAACTCAGCTGTAAGAAGTAATAGAGAAGATGCCATTGTTCTTCACCCGGTTTCTTCCCAATGATGACATCTTGAAAACATACAGAGCATGTATGTCACATTGTCACACAATACATAGCTCCCAGTCAGGTGTCATAGCACACACATGCATGTGCTTAGTCCTAATTATTTTATCTCTGTCAGATTTTGCGTATCAAAATTTCTTGTTATTTCCCCACTGACTTTCCAGCTCCGACCAATCACTAATCTGTCCTTGCTTTTGTTTATCATTTCAGGGATGTCACATAAACTAGCCATGGTGGCACAGGTGTAGACCCTCAGCTTCTTGGAAGACTTGAGCCCAGAAGTTTGAGGCTAGCCTGAGCAACACCGCGCAACCCTGTCTCAAACACTGACAGTGCATTGGTACACATGACTGAAAGTAAAATATGGAACGTTTTGGCACTCTATGTTGCCATTCGGTCTTCACTGAAGTCCACCCAACTTCGTGCATTTTTCCGAGTTCCCCCTCTTATTGCTGAGCAGCTTTCCAAGGCTGTACCTTCTCAGGCCTGATTTCTAGATCGTGTGTTCCGTTTGTCTATGAGTCTGTTTTCTGCCACGGTCACTCTGTTTTTGTTTTTATGACTGTAGTTTTGTTTGAAGTCAGGTAATGTGACACCTCTAGTATTCTGCTCAGGACTGCTTTGGCTGTTTGTGTCTTTTGTTTTTTTGTTTTTTTTTTTTTTTGGACAAATTTTAGGATTTTTTCCCTCCTACTGTGAAGAATGTCATTGGAATTTTGAAGAGGCATGAGATTTTTTTCCTTTTTCCTTTTCCTGTGTGTGTGTATGTGTGTGTGCACGTGTGTGTGAGGTACATGTGCATATGCATGTTGTATGTGTGATGATGCAGCTGTGTGGTATGCATGCACCACACATGTGCATGCCCATATGGAGGCCTGAGACTGGTATCTATAGTCATTCTCCATTGCTCTTCCATCTTATTCACCGAGGCAAGGTCTCCTAATCAAACCCAGAGCCCACTGATGTTGGCTGATTATGCCAGCTAAGTAGCTCTGAGGATGCATTGTTCTGCCTTGCAGGTGGGCCACCACACCCACCTGGTACTTACATGGCTTCTGGGGAACCCAACTCTGGTCCTCATTCTTATATGGCAAGCAGTTTAACCACTGAGTCCTTGCCAGGCTCATTCTATAAGATATTTTTAATTTAAAAATTGAGTTACGAGGCTAGAGGGATGGTTTAACATTTAAGAGCATGTACTGTTCTAGCAAAGGACCCAGAGTTCAGTCCCAGCACCCATATGAGGTGGCTCACAAATGCCTGGAGTCCTAGCTCTAGGGCCGTGGTTCTCAACCTTTTCACATGGGTCATCTAAGACCATCAGAAAACATAGATGTTTGCATTATGATTCATAACAGTAGCAAAATTGCAGTTATAAAGTAGCAATGGCAATAACTTTATGGTTGGGAGTCACTCCAACGTGAGGAACCATACTGAAGGGTTGCAGCGTTGGGGAGGTTGAGAAGGGCTGCTCTAGTAAAGCCTTCAGGGTCCTCTTTACTCACATGGACATAGCCACACACAGACACAGAATTAAAAATAAAAGAAACTTTTTATAAAGCTAAGCTATGAGCGGACTGCTCACACACTTTAGTGGGCCAGGTTCTTACTTGCCCAACATGTGTAAGGCCCAGTATTTGGTCCCCAGCACCATAATAAAGAAATATAAATCAATTAAGCAATAAAAAAGTACATGTGGGTATTTCTTTTCCGGCTTTAGCAGAGTGGGAAATCGTGAAAGCCAGCATCTGCCCAGCTCTGATTTACAGGAAGCCTCGACGCTGGTAACCTGGGACCCATGTGCTGAGGAAAGATAATTAGGAGGCTCAGGGTCCCAGGCTCCCGTTTGTCTGCCACAGACATCTGACATTCTTAACCAGAATGAAGACATCTTTTGAAAAAGCAGGGACCCTGTTGCCTGGATACAGTCAGGAACACGAACCACAGGACCTGCTGGGACCTGTAATCTGTCCATCCTTGTTTCGGTTTCCAGAACGTAAGAGGAAAGGGAGAAAGAGCTGACAGACAAGCTCCACCTGCTTGGGCTTTCTCTGCTGGTCCTCTGCGTGGTATCCATGCCTGTCTGCAGGCACGCACGCAGAGAACACCTTCGTGTGAAACCCTGCATCCATCCTCCCTGGTTACCGGGGAGTTCTAGTCGGGTTTATTCAAAGCAGCTTCCATGAAGACTATAAATAGCAGGCATGTGCCTCTGTAAGCAGGGCAGCTATTTAGCTTTTTCATAGGGGTTCTCGTGTTACAAGGACATCACAGATGACTGAATAATTTATGTAATGGTAGATTGTATGGGCTTCGCTCCCTGCCAGTGAGCTCATTCCCAAATGTCTAAAGCAGATAAGGGGAGCAAAAGCCTGGGGTTCTGGAAGCTGTCAATTTATTTTTGTTCTGGGCAGTTCCCCCCCCCCCCGGAGCTGTATGTATATTCTTGGTTTAGTGTTATCGCGGCCACGGAGGTCATATGCACGGCAGGCGGTACCTTAGTCACGCTGAACCAGCTCATAACAATGCATAAAACACAGCATGAAAAACACCCAGTAGAATAATAAATCGCCTTCTCTACGCTTGGTGATTTTAACAAAAGACTGTGGGGTGTAGGCGTACCTTTGTTCTCTAAGAAAATATAGGGAAATAAGGGAGTTGGAAAATGGTGATAAGAAAGAAAGTGCCCTGGGAGGGTAAGTTTCTGGGAGCTTCTGTTGTTACCTTTTCAGAGATGTGAAGTGTAAAAACAACCCATTTTGTGCTTTGCAGGGTTGCCTTCAGCCGCACAGAAATCAGGTAAGCAGGTGCCGCTTGGAAGTCAGGCGCACTTCCTTGTCCAATGTAATTTTAAGGAAGACGAAATTTCACCAAAAGAAAAGGTTTTAATTTTGCAACAGGAAAACAATTGAGAAGACTCAACAGACCCATAACCTGAGAGGAATTTCAGGGGGCCAATTACTGCAGGAGCTGCCTGATTTTATTCAGGAAGCAGAGGCGTGCAAAATATAGCCACCGTGAGACAGACGGCACCTGAGCCCTGGAAACAGTCAAGTTTGACAACGAGAAGAATTGCGGCGGGGTGGAGCAGATGATGGAGGGGGTGGGGGGAGTGGACAATGAGGGGTGGAGCAGATGATGGAGGGGTTGGGGGAGTGGACGATGAGGGGTGGAGCAGATGATGGAGGGGGTGGGGGGAGTGGACGATGAGGGGTGGAGCGGATGATGGGGGTGGAGCGGATAATGGGGGGTGGAGCGGACGATGTGGACTGCTTCGGGTGGGGGTTTAAGTGGAGGCAAGAATTTGGGGAACACTTTCGCATATATCTCCTAAGGCAGCAGTTCTTAACCTGGGGGCCATAGCCCCTTTGGGATCACTTTAAAACCATTGGAAAATACAGATTCTTACATTACAATTCATAACAGTAGCAAAATTACAGTTACAAAGTGGCATTGAAAATAATGTTATGGGTTGGGGTCACCACACCATGAGGAACTGTATTAAAGGGCTGCAGCATTAGGAAGGTTGGGGACCATTGTTCAAAGGTGTGACTCCTGTGTGGGCTGTAGGGACATGTCCCTGGAGGCAGGTGACTGTGCACGTCCTGGGGACGGTGAGCAGAGGAATGCTCACAGGAGCAGACCTTCAACGCCACAAGCTGGAGACAGCCACATGCCCGCCAACTCAGAAAAGGGTCAGAATGGGAACCACTCACAGTGTGAGCAAAACTGTGAGACTCAAATACAGCAAGCCCATAAGCAGAGGCAAACTCTTCTGTTTGGACGTGCGCACAGGGCTGGGAAGGAAAGCTGGGATGCCGGTGACTTTAGGAGGGAGCGACCTACACAAATAAAACAAAATATTAGTAACTAATCAAACACGTGAAAGACCTGTATGACAAGAACTTTAAATCTTTGGAGAAAGAAATTGAAGAATACACCAGAAAGTGAAAAGATCTCCCACGCTCTTGGGTAGATAGAATTAAGACAGTAAAAACAGAAGTCTTACCAAAAGCAACCTACAGATTCAATGCAATGCCCATCAAAATCCCAGGATAATTCTTCACAGATCTCACTCAAAAGAACAACACTCAACTTCATATGGAAAAGCAAAAAAACCAGGATAGCCAAAACAATCCTGAATAATAAAAGAGACTTCTGGAGGCATCACAACCCCTGACT